GAGGACAGTTCTATAAGGTGAGGACAGTTCTATAAGGAGAGGACATTTCTATAAAAAGAGGACAGTTCTATAAGGTGAAGACAGTTCTATAAGGTGAAGACATTTCTATAAGGAGAGGACAGTTCTATAAGGTGAGGACATTTCTATAAGGAGAGGACAGTTCTATAAGGTGAAGACATTTCTATAAGGTAAGGACAGTTCTATAAGGTGAAGACATTTCTATAAGGTAAGGACAGTTCTATGAGGAGAGGACGTTTCTTTAAGGTGAGGACAGTTCTATAAGGTAAGGACAGTTCTATAAGGAGAGGACATTTCTATAAGGAGAGGACATTTCTATAAGGTGAAGACAGTTCTATGAGGAGAGGACGTTTCTTTAAGGTGAGGACAGTTCTATAAGGTGAAGACATTTCTTTAGGGTAAGGACAGTTCTATGAGGAGAGGACGTTTCTTTAAGGTGAGGACAGTTCTATAAGGTGAGGACAGTTCTATAAGGAGAGGACATTTCTATAAGGAGAGGACAGTTCTATAAGGTAAGGACAGTTCTATAAGGTGAAGACATTTCTATAAGGAGAGGACAGTTCTATAAGGTGAGGACAGTTCTATAAGGAGAGGACAGTTCTATAAGGTGAGGACAGTTCTATAAGGAGAGGACAGTTCTATAAGGTGAGGACATTTCTATAAGGTAAGGACAGTTCTATAAGGAGAGGACATTTCTATAAGGAGAGGACAGTTCTATAAGGTGAAGACATTTCTATAAGGTAAGGACAGTTCTATAAGGTGAAGACATTTCTATAAGGTAAGGACAGTTCTATGAGGAGAGGACGTTTCTTTAAGGTGAGGACAGTTCTATAAGGTAAGGACAGTTCTATAAGGAGAGGACATTTCTATAAGGTGAAGACAGTTCTATGAGGAGAGGACGTTTCTTTAAGGTGAGGACAGTTCTATAAGGTGAAGACATTTCTTTAGGGTAAGGACAGTTCTATGAGGAGAGGACGTTTCTTTAAGGTGAGGACAGTTCTATAAGGTAAAGACATTTCTATAAGGAGAGGACAGTTCTATAAGGTGAGGACAGTTCTATAAGGAGAGGACATTTCTATAAGGAGAGGACAGTTCTATAAGGTGAAGACAGTTCTATAAGGTGAAGACATTTCTATAAGGAGAGGACAGTTCTATAAGGTGAGGACAGTTCTATAAGGAGAGGACATTTCTATAAGGAGAGGACAGTTCTATAAGGTGAAGACAGTTCTATAAGGTGAAGACAGTTCTATAAGGTGAGGACAGTTCTATAAGGAGAGGACAGTTCTATAAGGTGAAGACAGTTCTATAAGGAGAGGACATTTCTATAAGGTAAGGACAGTTCTATAAGGAGAGGACATTTCTATAAGGAGAGGACAGTTCTATAAGGTGAAGACATTTCTATAAGGTAAGGACAGTTCTATAAGGTGAAGACATTTCTATAAGGTAAGGACAGTTCTATGAGGAGAGGACGTTTCTTTAAGGTGAGGACAGTTCTATAAGGTAAGGACAGTTCTATAAGGAGAGGACATTTCTATAAGGAGAGGACATTTCTATAAGGTGAAGACAGTTCTATGAGGAGAGGACGTTTCTTTAAGGTGAGGACAGTTCTATAAGGTGAAGACATTTCTTTAGGGTAAGGACAGTTCTATGAGGAGAGGACGTTTCTTTAAGGTGAGGACAGTTCTATAAGGTGAAGACAGTTCTATAAGGAGAGGACATTTCTATAAGGAGAGGACAGTTCTATAAGGTAAGGACAGTTCTATAAGGTGAAGACATTTCTATAAGGTGAGGACAGTTCTATAAGGTGAGGACAGTTCTATAAGAAGAGGACAGTTCTATAAGGTGAAGACATTTCTTTAGGGCAAGGACAGTTCTATGAGGAGAGGACGTTTCTTTAAGGTGAGGACAGTTCTATAAGGTGAGGACAGTTCTATAAGGTGAGGACAGTTCTATAAGGAGAGGACATTTCTATAAGGTAAGGACAGTTCTATAAGGTGAAGACATTTCTATAAGGTGAGGACAGTTCTATAAGGTGAGGACAGTTCTATAAGGAGAGGACAGTTCTATAAGGTGAGGACATTTCTATAAGGTAAGGACAGTTCTATAAGGAGAGGACATTTCTATAAGGAGAGGACAGTTCTATAAGGTGAAGACATTTCTATAAGGTAAGGACAGTTCTATAAGGTGAAGACATTTCTATAAGGTAAGGACAGTTCTATGAGGAGAGGACGTTTCTTTAAGGTGAGGACAGTTCTATAAGGAGAGGACAGTTCTATAAGGAGAGGACATTTCTATAAGATAAGGACAGTTCTATAAGGTGAAGACAGTTCTATAAGGTGAGGACAGTTCTATAAGGAGAGGACAGTTCTATAAGGTGAAGACAGTTCTATAAGGAGAGGACATTTCTATAAGGTAAGGACATTTCTATAAGGAGAGGACAGTTCTATAAGGTGAAGACATTTCTATAAGGTAAGGACAGTTCTATAAGGTGAAGACATTTCTATAAGGTAAGGACAGTTCTATGAGGAGAGGACGTTTCTTTAAGGTGAGGACAGTTCTATAAGGTAAGGACAGTTCTATAAGGAGAGGACATTTCTATAAGGAGAGGACATTTCTATAAGGTGAAGACAGTTCTATGAGGAGAGGACGTTTCTTTAAGGTGAGGACAGTTCTATAAGGTGAAGACATTTCTTTAGGGTAAGGACAGTTCTATGAGGAGAGGACGTTTCTTTAAGGTGAGGACAGTTCTATAAGGTGAGGACATTTCTATAAGGAGAGGACAGTTCTATAAGGTAAGGACAGTTCTATAAGGTGAAGACATTTCTATAAGGAGAGGACAGTTCTATAAGGTGAGGACAGTTCTATAGGGAGAGGACAGTTCTATAGGGAGAGGACAGTTCTATAAGGTGAGGACATTTCTATAAGGTAAGGACAGTTCTATAAGGAGAGGACATTTCTATAAGGAGAGGACAGTTCTATAAGGTGAAGACATTTCTATAAGGTAAGGACAGTTCTATAAGGTGAAGACATTTCTATAAGGTAAGGACAGTTCCATAAGGAGAGGACATTTCTATAAGGTGAAGACAGTTCTATAACGAGGTGAGGACAGTTCTATAAGGAGAGGACATTTCTATAAGGTGAAGACAGTTCTATAAGGAGAGGACAGTTCTATAAGGTGAAGACAGTTCTATAAGGAGAGGACAGTTCTATAAGGAGAGGACATTTCTATAAGGTGAAGACAGTTCTATAAGGAGAGGACAGTTCTATAAGGAGAGGACATTTCTATAAGGTGAAGACAGTTCTATAAGGAGAGGACAGTTCTATAAGGAGAGGACAGTTCTATAAGGTGAAGACAGTTCTATAAGGAGAGGGCAGTTCTATAAGGAGAGGACATTTCTATAAGGTGAAGACAGTTCTATAAGGTGAGGACAGTTCTATAAGGAGAGGGCAGTTCTATAAGGAGAGGACAGTTCTATAAGGTGAAGACAGTTCTATAAGGAGAGGACATTTCTATAAGGAGAGGACAGTTCTATAAGGTGAGGACAGTTCTATAAGGTGAGGACAGTTCTATAAGGAGAGGACAGTTCTATAAGGAGAGGACATTTCTATAAGGTGAAGACAGTTCTATAAGGTGAAGACAGTTCTATAAGGAGAGGACATTTCTATAAGGAGAGGACATTTCTATAAGGAGAGGACAGTTCTATAAGGAGAGGACATTTCTATAAGGAGAGGACAGTTCTATAAGGTGAAGACATTTCTATAAGGTAAGGACAGTTCTATAAGGTGAAGACATTTCTATAAGGTAAGGACAGTTCTATGAGGAGAGGACGTTTCTATAAGGTGAAGACAGTTCTATAAGGAGAGGACATTTCTATAAGGAGAGGACAGTTCTATAAGGAGAGGACAGTTCTATAAGGTGAGGACAGTTCTATAAGGTGAGGACAGTTCTATAAGGTGAGGACAGTTCTATAAGGTGTAGACAGTTCTATAAGGAGAGGACAGTTCTATAAGGAGAGGACATTTCTATAAGGTGAAGACAGTTCTATAAGGAGAGGACAGTTCTATAAGGTGAAGACAGTTCTATAAGGAGAGGACAGTTCTATAAGGAGAGGACATTTCTATAAGGTGAAGACAGTTCTATAAGGAGAGGACAGTTCTATAAGGAGAGGACATTTCTATAAGGTGAAGACAGTTCTATAAGGAGAGGACAGTTCTATAAGGAGAGGGCAGTTCTATAAGGAGAGGACATTTCTATAAGGTGAGGACATTTCTATAAGGTGAAGACAGTTCTATAAGGTGAGGACAGTTCTATAAGGAGAGGACAGTTCTATAAGGTGAGGACAGTTCTATAAGGAGAGGACAGTTCTATAAGGAGAGGACATTTCTATAAGGTGAAGACAGTTCTATAAGGTGAGGACAGTTCTATAAGGAGAGGGCAGTTCTATAAGGAGAGGACATTTCTATAAGGTGAGGACAGTTCTATAAGGAGAGGACATTTCTATAAGGTGAGGACAGTTCTTTAGGTTTTGAATCCATTTGGAAATTCCTTTTAGGATAAGGAAGTATTTCACTCAACCTAATTCTGACCCATGATGGATCAAAGCAGAGACACATTCATTCAACCACTACCCCTCCAATCAAAAGAAACTGATCGAGGAATCAAGAATCAATGTTGAATTTGAAAATCAGTCATTTGAAATAAACCAAAGCTGTGTGGGATTATAGAGAACAGGAAACAGCATGGAAACAACATGTTAACCTGTTTCCTAAAGTTAGACTAGAGTTTATGCTGACTTTGTTTTCAGGGTCCTCACAGATACAGAAAAATCAACCTGTGTGGGAGTCTTCTTCAGCTCCTCCGACCGAACATTAACTCTGAAACATGAAACTCACAAACACACACACACACACACACACACACACCCTGTGGTCCGTCCTCTTCCTCTGTCCGGATGACATTTAGGCAGATATATAAACCGCCATGCCAGACGCTCAGAGCCAGAAGATTCCTGCAGTGCAATCCAGAAGCACTGTAACACTCACCTGTCTGCATACCTGTCGTACTGATCCAGGGACCTGTCTGACCTCACAGCATCATGCTCACCAGGTACGTCCATCGTCTCCTCTCTGTGTGTAAAACAACCATGATGTTAAAACCTCACCCTACAATGCAGCGCTGCACAGAACTGAACCAGAATCAGACGACAGGACAGAAACAGTTTTTACACAAACTTTAGGGTTTTATATCTGCTGTCTGTCACATGAGTTACAGTCAGAGGTCAGCAGATATTTAATGAATCTGAGATTAACTGAGGTTAACTGTTGAAATTGAATCATTTGAACTTCAAACCTCTGTTATTTGAATTTTGTATATTTAAAACTGAACTGAATCCAAAACAAAATGAATGACATTTATATTTCGGTCCAGAAATATTGAAAAATAATCAATTTAAATAATAACCAGACATGTGACATCAGAGGCGTGTTGTGTTCTGACTGCTGATAGGCTGAAACAGAAAATCAGTTAAATCTGTGTTCAATATACCTTAGTATTTCTGAGTTGTAAATTTGATCAATCTGCCTACGTCAGCTGGTTTGAACAATCTCATTATCCCTGTCTACAGGTAACAAAAACATGACACAGATGTGTTGCATACATACAGGATTTGCGCAGTGTGTGAATGGGTGAATGTGATGTAGTGTTGAAGCACTTTGAGTGGTTGCAAAGACTTTAAAAATACAGAGCGTTTACATTCACTTAATATGGCAGAATCTTCCTTCCTCTCCTACATCTGTACATGTTTTTACTTTTAGAAGTGAGATCCCTGTTTTCTAAAGAGCACCAAAATAAAGACCCATAGAACTGAAAGATGCACTAAGAAAAGAAAAGCTTGCAGGAAGTGGTTGCATTATTGATAGATCTTGCTCAGAGTTATTAACAGTCCGTGTGCATGCATGCAGAGTCTTCTGTATGTACGTGTTCCTGCACGAGGTCATGATCAGAGATCCGGTAGCAGCTCTGGGTTTGGTTCAGCCAGTGTTTTTCATCAAACGTTTTCAGGTCACTTTGTGTTTCGTTTCTGTTGGGAGGACTTTCCAAAAACATATTCCAGCCTGCAGGGGCCGTTTGCTGATTCCCTAGAGGCTATTCTGCTTTCCTATTTGTTTTTGTGATATACAAAGTGCAGATGGTGTGAGACTGTTTCTGAAAACCTGATAAAGAAACATTAAACAGTGGTGCCAGTTCATCTGTGTTTCTTTTCCGTGCTTGTGTTTAAGATGATGCTCGGGTGAAGCCTGGCTCTGCACACTAACACAATTAAAATACCATGGCATGAACACAGTGTATCATATTTATCTGATGGACCACTGTGTGTCAGCACTGAACGCCTTCAGTTCACCGTCAGTCTAAAGTCTGATAGCGCCCTCCACAGGCTGCACACATCATCACAGCCCCAACATGAACACAGCATCCTGATGACTTATTACTCTTAAATCAGCTCTGAACATTTACAGTTTGTCCTGCTCCTCAGTTAATAAGCTCCTGTTGAACTCAGTGAGGCTCTTAAAATGTTGCAGTAATGTAATGAGAAGGTGTGATTGAAGAGTGCAAATGAAAATCTAATCAAACATGAAGCAGCTGCCGAGCGCTCAGTCTGACCTGTGTACGGTGGCTCTGTGAGGACACAAAGGTTATCAGACTGAAGGCTGTGTTTGTTCTGCAGGAACGTGGTTCTTCTGTTCTCTCTGTTCATCCTGCTGGTGAAGGCAGACCTCGACTCCAAAGGTGAGATTAAATCTGATCTGATTTAAACTCATCAATAATATCTGTTCTGATTGGTGATCAGTTCAAAGTCAGAGGAAATCAGATGACATCACAGTTTGATTGACAGGTGATGTGAGTGATTAAAGGTGTTTAATGAAAGTGTTTTGTGTTTGTAGATGCTGGAATTCAAGCCATGTCGACAGGTAAGCCACCTCTTTGTCTCCCATTGCTCACGTACTGAACTTGTCTGTCTGTCCTCTAACCTGTCTTACCTGTCCGTCAGACAAAGACTCCACATCTGATGAAGCCCCTACAGGTAAGTCTCACAGTCTAACCCTTAATCTGAATCAACAGTTCAAATGTTTTCACTGTGGAGATGTTTTTCTGATTTTAAGAAGAGCTGATGGTCAGTTTCTGATTCGACTTTTCATCCAACACGTTTTCAACCTCTTTTCTAATCAACTGAATATTGTCAGTAATCATTAGCAAGGAAAAAAATGGTCCTAACACACGATCGAAAGCAGTCAGCAATACACCTGACATCCAAACGTGTTGAACACATGTTCAGGAAGGGTTAGTGGTAGGGACAAACTGTGTCACCGTCGATCAACAAACACTGCTGGGTTTAACATGTGGAGAGATTCTGACGGAGCTGTGATGATGAGGATGTTGTTGATGATGATGATTTTGTTGTTTCAGAGAGTATGAACGCCGTCTCTCCTGATCAGCCCGGTAAGACTACAGTTTCAGTCTCAGAACAGCGACCAAGCATATGTCCCTCCATGGTAACTGATGCTAACGGCTAACCAGCTCTGTATGTTCCAGAGAGGAGATCAAAGCTAGACATATAAAAAGACCAATGAGAATCAGAAGTACTTTATTGACCCGTTTGTGACTGTTGCTTGTGTTGCTAAACATGGCATCAAAGTAAAAATATATAATATATAATACAATGTGTAATGGATTGGTGATGGTGCAGTGGATAAGACCTTTGGTGGTATATTTCGAATCCACTGTGAGCAAGACACTGAACCCCTCGCTGCTCCAGAGGACATATAGCATATAGAGTCTGACATATAGAGAAATTAGAATATAGAAAGTCGCTTTGGATAAAAGCGTCAGCTAAATGAATGAATGTAAATATGCACTATATTGACAAAAGTATTGGGACAGCCCCCCATCATTGAATTCAGTTGTTCCAATCACTTCTATGGCCACAGGTGTATAAAATCAAGCAACTAGGCATGCAGACTCCTTCTACCAACCTGTTCTCACTCCACAACTCATCACATATGGACACATGGTCAAGAGCCATCATTGTCAGTTTGTAATGCACTGGGGATCCCTATAGCGTCATAGTTCAACGCAGTGGGGAAAGCCCTGTAGTGTGTCAGGTCATACGATATTTAACAGAAATGAGTAAGGAGGTGGATGGAGGGCCAGAACCCAGACTTTGAACCAGGAGGCCGGGGTTCGTGTCCTGCATGAAGCATAAAGTCAACATTAAATGTTTTTGTTTAAGTTAGACAAGTTACGTAAATTGACATAAGTGAAGTTAGTTACGTGTTAACTGACGTACATAGTAATTTTAACCCAAAACATGATCTTTTCCTAACCTTAACCAAGTAGTTTTGTTTCCTAAAGTACTTTTTGTGGATAAACCTAACCAAACTGCAACGTTTCACAACTTTAATAACGTGCCGTTTCAAAATGGCGATGTTTGGAAATGCTAGCTAACTTTACCGGAAGTTACATATTTGTTGTTGTTAAGTGTTGCTAACTTGACCGCGGAGCCCTAAATGTCAATCAATGGCGCAAAAGGGATACCCAGGGTGTTAAAAAGCAACGCCAAAGGGCCTTGACCAAGCATCAATATTTGGCGAGTCCGGAGTGAGAACATCTTGCTTCTACAAACATTTGTGAAAGAACGGGTCGCTCTCAGGAGCTCAGTGAATTCAAGGGTGGTACCGTGATAGGCTGCCACCTGTGCAGTAAGTCCATTCGTGGAATTTCCTCACTACTAAATATTCCACAGTCAGCTGTTAGTGGTATTATAACAAAGTGGAGGCGATTGGGAACAACAGAAACTAACATCACAGAGCGGGGTCAATGTATGCTGAGGTGCACAGTGCGTAGAAGTCAACAGCTACAGATCTCCAAACATCGTGTGGCCTTCGGATTAGCTCAAGAACAGTGCGTAGAGAGCTGCATGGAACGGGTTTCCACGGCCGAGCAGCTGCATCCAAGCCTTACATCACCAAGTGCAATGTAAAGCGTCGGATGCAGCGGTGTAAAGCACGCCGCCACTGGACACTAGAGCAGTGGAGACGTGTTATCTGGAGTGACCAATCACGCTTCTCTGTCTGACAATCCCATGAACGAGTCTGGGTTTGGCGGTTGCCAGGAGAACGGTACTTGCTTGACTGCACTGTGCCAAGTGTAAAGTTTGGTGGAGGGGGGTTTATGGTGTGGGGATGTTTTTCAGGGTTTGGGCCCTCAGTTCCAGAGAAAGGAACGGTTAATGCTTCAGCAGAACAAGACATTTTGGATCATTTTATGCTCCCTTTGCGGAAACAGTTTGGGGACGGTCCCTTCCTGTTCATGACCCTCACAATGCTCACTGGCTTCTCATGATGGGCATAGGTGTGACTGAGCAGGAAGATTATGGCGTCCTCAACCCTGAGTTGGGTTGGTAGGCAAACTGGAGGGGGTCCAGGAGAGGTCAGACCATGGACAACTGTTCAAGAACCACTCTTCAGGGTCGTGGGACGTTGGTGTCTTTGGGACAGGAACTAGAAGTCTTCAGCCATATTTTGACTTTTAAGTCCCCAGATCTCTTTTCAAGGAACTAAAAGGTTCCTTCAGCCACTGCTGTGTGCTTTTCCACTGTGGTCCTGCAACGATTAGGCAAATTAACCAGCTGACATAGGCTGTAGGGCTGTAGGCCTGTACACCGTACAACGCGATGCACAGGCATCATTATTTGTAACCACTATCCATGAGTGACATTTATAAATGAACATCAGATTTGACTGGAATATAATGAAAAGCTACAGGCTGTGCTCGACCATTAAGGCAGCTTTTTTGTGTGAGAGTAAAATGGAGAGAGACACGATAAAGTTTGTTACATGTTTAATAACAAACTGGAAAAAAACATCTAGTTCTAAAAATAACACAAAAATAAAATGGAGACAGTTTGGAAGGTTGTTAACATTATTAACAACATTTCCAGCGTCAGGAGCTACAGATCAGCTGCAGCATCACGTCTGTGTCGCCTGAGCGCCGGAGGAACGGGATGTTTAACGAGCTTAATTACCTGCTGTTATCAGGAGAGGAGGAGACCGACTTCTGCTCTGTGGAAAAACCTCAAACAACAACTCAGGGCACAGTATTTAGCTCAACTCCAACGGCTGTTCGCTGTAAACACACCGCTGCACGCCGGCTGCTGTTTCCCAGCAACACAATTAATGCAGACGTTCGATCTCAGGCGACGTCGGCGAGACTCGTGTGCCTCTCTACTGTTGATTGTGATTTATTGGTTTGTAGAAAAACAGCCGACATTCTGGATTTAAAGCCAGTAGCCTCTACTCGCCCATTCAGAATTTCACTGCAAGACAAGCCCCAGGAGGGTGGGGGACAGTGAGAAGGAGGAGGGGGGAGCAGTGGGGTTGGAGGGAAGCCAACAATTGAGTTAGAGGGGGGATGAGCAGGAGCCATTGTTTCACATCTGTTAAAGAACAGATTAAGTTTGCTGGCAGATAATATGGCCGGAGTCCCACAGCAAGCAGATCCATTGCTTGATCTTAATGTGACCAGCATTACATCATCTGTTGTTAACTGGACCAGCAAGCCCCCCCACCTTCACAAACAGTCTGAGGGGCGAATGGGCCTGGTACCGGTTGTAATATAAGATATGACAGTACGCCGACTATATGTTTTAGATTTATTTTTATTTGCTCTGTCACTGCGGTTACAAGAAATGCTTTCATTGTTCTTTTCATGTGAGGCTGAATATAATGAGCAGATATTTTGGAATTCAAGTGAAGTTTAACATGAATGTGTTCATAAAGTCTCAGTAGAATCGGGTAGTTTCTACAAAGGTTTTATTCCTGTGTTATTCTGACATCTAGTGGTTTAACCTGATAAATAATCTTTTATTAAATTTTTTCTTGTCTCAGTAGTAAAGTGTTACCACAAGTGTCCCCATAACAGTGTGACACTGAATCAGCATGAACCAGGACCTTGAAACTGAGTTCATTTGATTATTTACACCTGTTATTTACCTGCTGTCACATCTGACGAAGCCAGATTAGTAAAACAGGGCTGCAGTTTTATCATTTAACAAATACATGATGAGCGATCCAAGAAAGGTTCATTCAAGAAGCTGGACTTGAAGACACTTAAAGACGTTTTGTCTCTCATCCAAGAGACTTCCAGCTGTTTAACCAGTGTGGGGTCTTTACCAAGGTGATGGATACCTCTTGGTGTGTTGGTGCTCATGGCTGTTGGAACTACAGTCATTGTGGTCGTTGTGGTCGTTATGGGCGGTGAAACTGGGACTCCCTGCAGCCAGTCAGAACTGAAGAAGCGTCTCGGATGAGAGATGAAACGTCTTCGAGTATATTCTATCAAGTCCAGCTGCCCTTGATTTAACCCTCCTTTGAAAACTCTAAGCTGGATAAGTGAGAAGATTCTAAAAAAGATCTGTCTTTCCATATAAAGCAGGATAGATAATCTTTGTTTGAATTGATTTATTTCAGATGAATCCCAGTATTATGGAGGAGGACCTTCAGGTAGGAACATGACGATGATGCTGATGCTGCTGATGATGATGTTACTGTCAGGATGAATAATTGAGCAAAGAACCAGCACTTTAACATCATATTTACCTGAAGGGGAAGTTATTTCCTGATATCAGGTCCATCAGAGCATCTCACAGCGCAAACATTCATGATCACGTTGATGTGAGTTGGTTGGTACCTGTAACTCACCTGTTCATGTGTACCAGCAGCTCTGAGAATATCATGAAGATAATAAACTGAAATGTGTTGATGTGTTTCAGATACCAGCAGCTCCAGTTCAGAGACTGCAGATGGTGAGAACACCATACACATTCACTGGCCACTTTATTAGGAACACCTTGCTAGTACCGGGTTGGACCCTCTATTGCCTTCAGAACTGCCTAGATTCTTGGGTGCATAGATTCAACAAGGTGCTGGAAACATACCTCACAGATTTTGCTCCATGTTGACATGACATCATCACGCAGTGCTGCAGATTTGTCAGCTGCACATCATGATGCGAGTCACAAAGGTGCTCTACAGGACTGAGATCTGGTGCCTGTGGAGGCCACTGGAGTTCGGAGAACTCATTATCATGTTCAAGAAACCAGTTTGAGATGATCTGAGCTTTGTGACACGGAGCATTATCCTGCAGGAAGTAGCATCAGAAGATGGTACACTGGGTCATAAAGGGGTGGACAAGGTCAGCAGCAATAGTCCGGTAGGCTGTCGCCTTTAAACAATGCTCAGTTGGTGCCAAGGGGCCCAAAGTGTGCCAAGAAAATATCCCCCACACCTACACCAGCAGCCTGAACCGCTGATACGAGGCAGGATGGATCCATCCTTTCCTGTTGTTCAAATTCTGACCCTACCATCTCAATGTGGCAGCTGAAATCGAGACTTATCAGACCAGGCAACGGTTTTCCAGTATTCCATTGTCCAGATTTCTTGAGTCTGTGCTAATTATACCTCGGCCACCTATTGTTAGCTGACGGGAGGGGCACCCGGTCTTGCTGCTGCAGCCCGTCGGCTTCAGGGTCACCGTGTTGTGCATACAGAGATGCTCTTGTGCATGAATGGATCAAAGGATGCTCCAGCTGGTGGTTGAAGAAAATAAAGCTGGGCGGTTTCTCATATTAGAGCTAAACAGTACACTAACATATGTTTCTGAAAACATTTGAGGTGAGAAATAGGCAGTCCGGTAACAGTGTCTTGATTCATATTTGATGGGAGTTTTGTGAGCCTTGTGTTGCATTGGAAGAACTCATTTACATTAAATTGAGAGTGAGTCGTGTTTATGCCAGTCATCTCGCCGTAGCGTATCTAGTGTGCACCACGCGGGTCAAATCTCATACTTTTCAGGGAAAATTAATAGGATAGCAGCACGGTGGCCTAGCAAGAAGGTTCCGGGTTCGAACCCCGGTCATCCCGGCCTTTCTGTGTGGAGCATGTTCTCCCACGTCTGCGTGGGTTTTCTCCGGGTTCCCCCACCATCAAAAACATGTTAGGTAGGTTCTCCAGTCAGTGCTGTTTGACCTGGCACTGCATTTCAATCTAGAGTTGATCCACGGGCTTTGCACAGACTGCCCACTGCTCCCTTCAGGCATGGGTTAAATGCAGAGGATGAATCTTGCTATGTGTATGTGATAAATAATGTACCTTAACATTAACCTTAGGATCTGTTGACCTGAGCTTTACTTTTGCCTTCTATCAGCTTGAACAATTCTGGCCATTCTCCTTCAGAGCCAGAGAACTGCTGCTCACTGGATATTTCCTCTTTTTCAGACCATTCTCTCTAAACTCCCATCAGTTTCTGAAACACTCAGATCAGCTCGTCTGGCCCCAACAACCATGTCACGTTCAAAGTCACTTAAATCCCCTTTCTTTCCCATTCTGATGCTCGCTTTGAACTGTTGTTGCCATGTGATTGGCTGAACAGATATTCGCTTTAACAGGTATACCTAACAAAGTGGCCCATTAATTGATCTTATATATCTTCATTCATCTATAAAGCCTCTCACCCAATTATTTATCAAAGTATGAACTCTTCATCTATCCATTCATTCATTTGGTTTTAATGTTGTGTTCTTTGTAGCTCCAGCAGCCAATCAGGTGACAGCACCTGGTACGTTTTCTTCTTCTACCTCTGAATATCTGTTTAAGTCAGTTTTTTTGTGTTTTTATAAAAGTTTCTGTTGATTGATTATTTTCAGAACCCGCAGCTGCTGCAAACAGTGAGGAGGATGGAGATGGTGAGACCGAGTTTCATAACTCAATTGAATTTTCAGTTCATAACAGAGGTTATCTCACTGTACTTTTCATGTAGAGCAGGTCTAGACTTCGTGATGAGTTTCCTTCGAATGTCATGTCCGTGGCATGCCGTTGAATTTTGATGTTTTGATGTTTCACAATTTGTACCTTTACCAACTTGTTTGAAATAGGTGACGGTGCCATGTAGGTAGGCTGCATTAATTCACTTGTTAGGTCACTATGGAGCAGCAGAAAAATCATCCTCAGTGAATGAAATGTTTTCAGTCGTAAAGGTTTTAGAGGGTGAAAGCTGCAGGAGAAAGAGACTAAATGCTCTTTGAGTTAAGAATTTTGTTTTTCTAGATATACACCACTACTAGTACAAATATAATACAGATATGCTTTCCAATAAAAGTGTGTTTTAGAAGAGACTTCAAAGAAGACATTTCCAGCCTATATAATTCTCATGTGTTCACTAGCATTGCATAGTGGACCGATGTTGATACTGATATGAAACTGCTTCATGCAATGTTTAAAATGTATTCAAATGTAAATGCATATCAGCCAACCGCTGGTAAATATACTGATTCATTAATAACTTCTCTGATATGCACGTCATCCCTGGCAACAGGAATTAACCCTAGTGTGACAATCATCATTTGATTTCCCTGAACCTTTGGAAGTGCTTTACGCTTGGTCTACTGGAACATGGCCTATAGTTAGCAGGTGTTCTGTAGCGGCACGTAGTGGACGCAGGAAGTGATGTTTAACTCTTTCCTGCAGTGTCCAGAAAGCATGAAAATTCAGAGCCATCATCAGACAAACAAACACACAGAGGGAGAGAGAGGCTTGAAAACATGCAGTGCCCAATATTAATGAAAATTCAGAGCTGCGTTCACCGACCACGACACAGCAGAAGCGTCACGCCTGGTGTGCGGGAAGGCCCGCTCATCGCTGCTGCAGCTTTAATTTCATTATGCTTTTATTTGATATTGAAGACTTCTGTTTTTCTCACAGATGATGAGAACTCCGACTCCGAAGAAGGAGGGAAGAAAAAGTTCAGCTCTCGCTCAGCCAAACCTCAGAGCCCTGCCATCCCGCCACAGAGCCCTATCCTTGTTATCCAGAGCCCCGTCCAGGCCCCTCAGAGCCCCGTACCCCCCCCTCAGCCAATCATTCCTCAGCCCAAAGCTCTGGTGAGAAACCGAGCGGCCAAAAGACGATCCAGGACCAACCGGCGTCAGATATAAGACATCAGCGCACACACAGAACACACACATGTAGGTATGAAAACACTCGTGTGAACACATAAACTCAGATAAACACACGTCAGGAACACGTTTCCTCAAGCGGCAGACGCTTTTTTCCAAAGCGACTAACATTTGAGGAACAACATACAAGCATCAGTAAAGCGAGAGACCTGCCTTCAGTCTGAAAAACAGCTTCATCAGACGATTTAGAGAAAGAAAATCTTTTCTGACTCAATGTTCAGTCTGACTTGAGTTTCTCTTAAGTCTTCAGTTCAGAGCCACTCTGGCCCCCGATATGTTTCAGTGTTTGAATTGGGCCCCTGGACTCCCTGCAGACCTCAGCTCAGTTTATTTGCTGTTATGTTTTTCACTTTCACTCAGTCACAAGTTCATAACTGTACACCAACATATTTAAACAACATGATGTTCACGTGTCCTGTTTGTTACTATTGTCATATTTGAATAAAGTTTAACTGAACATGACCTCTGACCTAGTCTACCCTCACCTCTTACCCAGCATTCACCAATGGGGCATGAAGTTCAGATATTCAGCAGCAGCTTCAGATTCATTCAATTAAACATTCAGAATACCAGCTCAGCAGTAGCAGCGGTAGCTCGTTCCACCATCGTGGTGTCACAGATGAGAACAGGGACTGGGATCGCTTTGTGTGAAGGGAGGCAGAGCCAGGCGGCGTTCGCTGGAGGAGCGTAGCGGCCGAGAGGGAACGTAGACTTGGATTATGGAGTTTAGGTAGATGGTGCAGACCCACTCTGTATGCATGCAGATATGTCCGAGAGACAGTCCGTGATCCGCGCCGAGACGGTGGGACCGCCTGGCGGGAAGGATTGGTAGGTAACGATAACAATATCATTTGTACAGTATTACCTTCAAACAAAAGGGAATGTTTGCAGACGCTTTTATCCAAAGTGACACATTGGTGGATGTGCCGCAGTGGGAATCAAACCCAGGTCTCCCACAGAAAGGTCAGTGTCTTATCCACTGCACCATCACCACCCCATGTTGAGAGGCATCCATGAGCCGTATCTATGTGCCAGATCCTTTCATCCTAAAGAAACCTACTGAAATAAAGAATATGTTGCTGTGAGTGAGGAGCAGAGTTTACCTTCTCAAAAACAACCCAGGACTTCCAACGCTGCAGATGAAAGTTGAAGTAATCATGTTTTCTTGTTTCTAACCAGCAGTTTCCTTGTGTAATGGCGCCATCAAGTGGGTAAAAACACAATGATAAAACAACCTTGTTTTAATTTTTTAACCAATCAGAGACCGATTGGGATATCCCAAACAACCAATTGCACAACTTTGAAAAGACAGAAAGAATCATTTTGCCTCTTTACCATGAAATGAAACAGAAATCGGTTGTTTAGCATATTGAAGGTATTACGTTGATAGTAGTCTTTCATACTGAGAAAACATCAACCTGTATTACCTCATAATTATCATTATTACCCTGTTAATGTTAATTATTCCAAATATTACACCGATATACCATTTTACTGTTAGGTTACCATACGGTAATCTTTATTATACTATACTGACCTCTCGTCCTCCCCCCACCCTGACCGTAGACCTCTCGTCCTCCCCCCACCCTGACCGTAGACCTCTCGTCCTCCCCCCACCCTGACCGCTCGTCCTCTCGTCCTCCCCCCACCCTGACCAGCAGCACCAGCAGGCTCAGGAAGAGCTACTTTAACGTCCATTATTTGCACTATTCATATTTTTGAACAGACTGAACCCCTATATTGTTATTATATATTAACCATCAAAATCAACAAAGGCTCTGGAGACAGATGGGCGGAGTATGTGGAGCACTGGACAGCTGATTCTCTGTGAAGCTGGAGGACAAAGTCTCTGGGCCTCTGATTAGATGAGTCTGTGGGATGCTAAACAGCTGAAGCTCTGTTAAGCTGGCTTGCTCAGTGTCTGAGTTACAAGTCAAAGTCTCTGACGAACTAGGTAGCTCCATCCCTCCGACGCCGGGAGCCAGGCCGGCAGGTAGGTAGGCAGCTAACTGGCTGGAAATCAGGCTGGCGGCAAGCAGACCAGAGAGTAGGCAGGGATGCAGAGTGAGGACTAGCAGGCTGAGGCTACATCCATATTACAAAACAGTCATTTTAAATGAAAACGACTCCATTCTCACCAAACTTTGAGCTGCAAATCAGAATTGGTGTCCGTTCAGAATGTAAGATGCAAAAAAAGAAGAAAGTGTTCCTAGAGAGAATGGCAATGGTGAGGAACACAGCAGAGATGAACCAATGACGAGGTGGAACTGTTACTGAAAGTAACATGGCAGTACAAAGGGCCTGTGAGAATAGCCTAACAAATCAGGGAAGGATATGGCATGACTGGTAAGACCCAGTCAGAAAGTGAAATGTCAGCATCTGCGTCATCGTTTTCCTCCGTCCTTTGTTTTCACCTGTCCGCACAAATGAGCTCCCCCATTCAGGGACTGAGTCTCTTAACCAAGTCTTCTTTGGCAAGTCTAAAAGCTCATCTGATATTGTGTCTGCTGGGTCCATAATGGTCGGTCCGTACTGTCATGAGGGTGCCGAGTACTTACCTGTCAGTTACTACTGCACTTTTCCCTGGTGGATGCTTGTTTGGCAGCTCAGTCTGGAGCTCAACACTCAGAATACAGTGGAGATGGTCGTGGACTTCAGAAAGAGCCCAGCCCCACCCTCCCCCATCATCCTGTGGGACTCCCCAGTCACCACTGTGGACTCCTTCCGCTTCCTGGGCACCATCATCTCCCAGGACCTCAAGTGTGAGCTGAACATCACCTCCCTCACCAAGAAGGCCCAGCAGAGGATGGACTTCCTGCGGCAGCTGAAGAAGCTGCCAAAGACAAAGATGGTGCACTTCTACACCGCCATCATTGAGTCCATCCTCACCTCCTCCATCACCATCTGGTACGCTGCTGCCACTGCCAGGGACAAGGGCAGGATGCAGCGCATCATTCGCTCTGCAGAGAAGGTGATTGGCTGCAATCTTCCTTCTCTTGTGGACCTGTACGCCTCCAGGACTCTGAGGCGAGCAGGAAAGATTGCAGCAGACTCCTCCCACCCCGGACACAAACTGTTTCAGACTCTCCCCTCTGGCAGGAGGCTGCGGTCCATCAGGACCAAAACCTCTCGCCACAAAAAAGGTTTCTTCCTGTCTGCAGCCTCATCAACAAGACCCGTGCCCCCCACTGACACCCCACTGACACCCCACTGACACCCACCCCACCTCAAATAACACAATCGTCTCTGCACATGAAAATACTGTTTCATCTTGTGTCGTGCACAGACCTGGCAAGTCGCACATATTCATTGTATATTGTTGATCTTTGTTGTTATGTTGTCAGTTTATATATTTATATGTACACAATATTCTCTTCCGTTGTCTTATTTCTGCACGGCACAGACCCAGAATAATGCATGTATAATAATAATAATTGCATCTGCAACATTCCATATTTCTACATTTATTTATCTTGACTGTATGTCTGTCTGCATGTAGCACCTCATCACCACAGCAAATTCCTCGTATGTGTAAAACACTACTTGGCCAAAAAACTGCTTCTGATTCTGCTTCTGAATAGGACAAGTTGCATCACTGGATGTGTCCATGCCGTAGAATATATAAAAATGGAAGTGGTGTCCGTGACGTCACCAGTTGGTTTCTGAAGAGCCGTTTTGAAATTGGTGGAGCTGGCCGGCGCCATCTTGGCAGCGTGTGATCGTGCGTCACTCCCAGATAACCATAAATGGGCAAAGAGGTGGGTCGTAGGTGGAGCTGAGGTGACGTGTTGCTGAAACCACTCCCTCCTAGCTCGACGTGACCGAGTTAGCTCAAGCTATGGAGCTAATGCTATATGGTACTTAGGTTGGAACCTGCAGCCGTTTTTAATGGGCTCTTTCTGTCAAGTCCACGACCATCTCCACGGTCTTCAGAGCATTGAACTCCAGACTGAGCTGCCAAACTTTATACCAGATTATGGTCGTTACCAGCTTGCAGTCAACCTAAGACACCGGAAAATATTAAAATAACTCAGTACATATCCGTTATTGACATTATACTTAACAAGGTTTTAAATGCTTTTTTAAATATAAATGTGGTAATGTTATTTTGCCACACTAACTTTATATTTTGTTGAGACCAACGTTAACAGTTAACTATGAATCAGTTATTAATTACTTTAACGTTTACTTACATCTCAAACAAACATTTTGGAGCAAATCAATTAACCCTTTTCATACCGTTGGTTACGAGTCGTTTATTTGGACGTCACCTCAGTATGTTACTTGTAATAAACGTAATAAGCTAGCGGTAGAGTCCTTAGTTACATGATGGAAGCTGTATAACTTGTAAAACCTTAGCCATGGCTGCTATCACGTTAATTAATTCCCCTGCTATATTGAGTAACATTGCTGCTGTTGGCAGGGCTGTGTGGGATTATTGTCTGGAATAGGACACTTGAGAGAGAAAGATACTTTTTATATTGGTCACAAGATTCTTGTTGAGGATCTGATGCCTCCACGCCTGCTTTAACTGTAAGTAATGTTACAAGGACAACTTGACTACTGGACATTTGACAGCTGATATTAAATTTTCAACACAAAAACATTTAAAGGGTCTCCCATGTTCCATTTTCTCCCTCGTATGTGATTAGTGCTGTCAACATTAGAACACTGAGACATCTTTTAGAGGACCATCTCAAAAAATTAGAATACTGAGGAAAAGTTTATTGTGAGCATCAGAACCAGACTGAGAGATTACAGGCTTTAGAAACCTTTGCAGGTGTTTTGAGTTAATTAGCTGATTAGAGAGCTCTTCTCCAGTTGACATTTCTGTATAATTTATAATAATACAGAAATGTATTTATCAAGTTCTGTGTTTTTTAATTGATTACAGCTCAGCCCAAATTTGAAAACTGATTTTCTCTCTGAAGAACGCAAAGGACAACTCAATCTTTTCACTTCTTGATTCTTTATTTTCTTTGAGATGGTTTGATAGCCCAGTGATGGAATAATATGGTATAGTTTCTTGAAGGTGACTTGATAGATCAGTGATGGAGCAGTAGATATAGGTTGTTAACCTTTCAAATACACAAACCAAAACATGAATCAGTCACACATAAATCACAATACCACTTTCTCACAGAAGTAATAAATAAATGCTATTGAATCTTCAAACCAAACTAAACACGATCATTAAGTCTAACCTAGGATTTTAACAAGAAAATGCCAATCCCATAATTAAACTCATGCACATGTTACTTCTGTCAAGTTCAACATTCACATAACAAATCCCCATTACTTATTTTAAATTGCAAATTACAATCCAAGCAGAACCTGAACATTTAAAACTCAATATATTCAAACACAGTCAATCATAAATTGTCCTACCAGTTGTGTCTTTGAATGACCAGGAGCTGTAATCATAGTATCCTTTTCCAGGAATAAAT